TCTGCTTTTCTTCAAATAATAATATATAGAAAAAAGGTGGGGGATGTGGTTGAAAAGGGAAGGAATTATAACAATATCAGCAAAAGCGAGCTTTGGATTAAAAGTAAAAGGTTTGGTAATTTTAACACACACACAACCCTCAAGACACTATGGGAAAATAACAAAGCAGAAGCTGTTCCTCAGGGTTTGCTGTTCAACAAAGCAGGTTTTTACTAAATACAGAGTTATAGGCAAGAGTATTTTGGTATCCAGGGAGGGTCTGATTTGGAAGGGAACCTCTGAGGGAGAACAGGAGGCACCCAGTTATTTCAGTGACCAGCTGCTCCTCTCTTCCTCCAGCAAGAAGCATAGTGCTAAAGTGGATCAGATTCAGGGCTGTTCTACCTGCTGACTGTCCAGTAAATAATCCAGCACCTAAATCAACCAAATAGCCGTGGTTTGATACCTACCTGATGCTGATATATGGTGCTGTGTGCCCGTATAAATCTGTGTGAAGCAGCAAGAAAGCAAGTTGTATCACAGGACTCAAATATTTGATGTACCCACATGCAACTCCTCTAGATCGCCAGATCAATTACTGCTCTGAAGCTACACACCAGCATCTGGAAAGAGCTCTGGATCTCTTCACAGATCAAACTGATCCACCATCATCATCTCTCCACCAAAATCCAAAGGGTTGATCCCTACAATCCATCGTGTAACTTGCATATAACCAACCCTATAAGTAGGAAAATCTGAATGACATTATTAAAAAAGAGATGTCTAGGAGATCAACATTTACATCACACAATGCAAGGAGAACAAGTGGTTAATGATTGAACTGCTCTGTCTTCTTTGATTATAAGTTATGGAAAGTAGAGAAGGAGCTCAGAAAACAAAAGCTTCTGTACATAAGCAAAACAGGAAAGAAAAACGAGCAATAGTAATCAAGGATTTCAGGCCCAGGGCCTGTCTGGAGCAATAGGATGTGTTGTGCTAAGCTTGTTAGAATCACTCCTGCAAAAATTTCCCTTTGATGGCTTATTTGCAACCCAGAATTATAGTTATGCATGTTCTAACCTTCTAAAACCACTTCCTTCAAAGGAGGACACATACAAGGGTCTGGAAAGTGACTTCTTAGGCAGAACAAAGGATGCTCAGAACCAATTTCACAAATTTCCTGTCCCTGCCTCACTTCCAGCTTCTCACAGTACACAACAAACATGCTCTCCTGTTCCTGCTGGGTGACAGAGAGGTGGGACACACACACTGGTGCCCATGGGGAGGGACAAGTGCTGGGTACACTCAACTACATACATGCCCAGGCCAAAACTCCGCGTTTGTGAAAAGGTTTCATTGAAGATGTTTCAATATTTGCTTTTTTACTGCAAGTGGTTTACGACACCCAGTTAGAAAATGGAAAATAACATTTTTCCCCCCCTTTCAGAGCATGCCTACCACCAGTCTGGCAAACACAGGGAGCAAGGCTGCCCACAGGAACCTCAGTCCTATTCCTGGTTCCCCTCTGACTGACTACAACTGTCCAGAGGCAGTCACAGGTAGAAGTGATGGCAGCGCAGCGATGCAGGAGGGCACACCTCTGCCCGGGCTGCCTGCCCAAACCCTCCTCCAGGGTGCCAAGACAGCATTGCTGCCTGCAGTGCCTGCACACCAGCATCACATCCCTTGAGGAAAGGCTGCCTGAAGCCCATATGACAGAGGACAGACTCAGAAGATGATACAGAAGCTTGTTAGAGAACTGAAATCTGAAGCCAGGTTGCCCAAGCCCAAAGTTTATATACGTTGTTGCATCATCTTTCCATTGCATTAGCTCAACTTCCATGAGTCACTTCACTTTTCTGTCTTGAGCCTGGCAACTGCAAAAAGGCAACGTGGTTCTTTGAGCTGTACAACTAGCAATAGGGGCACCTGCCCCTGTAAATGCTGAAGGTATCTTTGCATGGAACGTGCCTTTTTTTTTTTTTTTTTTTTATCTTCATGCGGATGCTAGGACTTGGTAAGAACATGCCCCAAGTGAGTTCCCCTGTTATTGTAAGGTAATGCAGCTAATGCTGCAAACCTGATTGGACATGAGACCAATCAATAGAGATAAGCAGAAGCAGCAGCCAGATTTGTTGAATAAATGAATTCTTGCAAGTTACTTGCTCAGCTGCTCCATCAATGACAAAACTCCCATCGATTTCAGTGGGAAGTAGGATCAGGCCCTGATTTCTGACACTGCAGATATCAGGAATCTGTTATATAACAGGTGATACAGAATTAATTTGAATTTTTATGAAAGGAAACCATTCTCTGCCCCCAAACTTCCATGGACTTCTGCTTTACAATTAATCATCTATATTATTACTTTCCCCCAAACTGTAAAGCAACAGAGCAGAATGGCAGTGCCAGCATTCCTGTTAAGATCTCACAGCCCTCATTAATAAACGTAATAAGGGCATTGGAGTATCTCAGGAGTGTACTAGGTTACAGATTTAGGCTTTCCTTTGGGTACAATTTTATGTTTTCGTTTCACACACAGAAGTAATGTACTTATTCCAGGATCCTATTTTTTCATTTCATTTTTAAGCACTCATTTATGCTCCTTTAGTGGTATCTGCAAACTGATAAACATAGGGCTGCCCACTTTATCCACCAAAAGAGAAAAGGAGGAATTAAAACCAGAATTAATCGATTCTCATAGTTTGAAGAATTACTCCTTCACCTTCCAGGTCAAGCATTTTTAGCCGCTAAAGGGATTTTGACTTGAGCCCTTCGACTGCTCCTTCCACAGAAGCACGAGGCCAACACAGACAATAGCTACAGGCTAAAACCAGCAAACAGCCACTTACCTTTGTAGATGTAGCTACGTAGGGGAGTAAGATATATCCCTGTTTAAAAGGGTGTAAAGCTAGAATAGTTAAAGTTTATTTAGCTTTCAACCTGTGCCAATGAAAACAAGTTGAGACTGTGAGTAATTGCATATCTTGCTGTAAGCAGAACAGCACATTTGGACAAAAAAGACTGTAAGAGAAGAGGTTAGTAGTCTACCTGCCCAGCCTGATCATTAGCTGAATAAGAAGGGGACAAGTTAAAGCCATATAATCTTGTTAGGAGAGGAAAAGAGACCTCAGAGACAAAGTTCTAAGTCATAGTTCAGATTACAGCTTCACAAAGAGAGTCTTGAAAGCACTCTCCCTCCCATTTACAACCACTGAGGCCACTTCCCTCCCTCTTCCTGATGAAAAAGCATCTCTGGAGCAACTGCAGAAATTGACCCCCAGGAAGATCAAAGTTAATATATTCTTCAGCTGTCTAGCACAACGCAATGAACAGAGCAAACCTGCAGTTAACATGGAATCCCCAAACACCAGGACAGAGCAGATGCACAGGAATAACAGAGCACTGAAGGACCACGCAGTGTGTTGGATGGAAAAAACATGAGAACTCTTTTTGGGGGAGTCTTGTGTGATTAGTTAACCTTTCCTAAAAGGTTATTTCATATTATTGCATCAAATGCTGCAGCTGATGAAAAATAAGCTTAGGGTAGACATTCAAAAGAGCTCTGCACCAGCCAAATCATTCCTAAGCCTGTGGTAGAATCCCCATCAAAGTCACTGATTTTGGCTTAATATGACTACTACTAAAAATATTTTGACATTCAAAGGCACTTTAGAGATACCTAAACACTAGAGTCCTATATTTTGGTACTCATTTAAATCGTATTTGAAGCTTTCCCCGTTCTTTTTATTTATACTTTTATTTTTTAAAGTTACCAGATCTTGCTAGGAAAAAATCATCTGGAAGCAGTGTGAAATGTGAAGTAAATGGGGTAAAAAAAGAGAGACCAGTAAGATACTTTTACTATCCCTGGGGCACAAGAAGATGTGTCCATCAGTGTTTGGATTAAAAATAACATTTTGAAGCAATATGAATAACCCAAAACCATCAAAATGCACTTACTTTAATTCATAGTTTTAATGCATTTATTTATTTCAATTAGACCACAATGGCTTCAGTTCATTACCTAGTTAATATAGTGAATTAGATAGTGTTAGTGCAGCAGTTAGCACCAGTGCTTTCTGATTTTCTAATAGCGTCCAAGATCTATTTGTCAGGAAAGTGGGGCTGCTTTCCCAGTGAGGTTTAGTAACAGCCTGACATGTTTGATGGGTCAGTTTTTGATTCTTTTCTTTCCCCTAGGAAGGGACCAACACTAAAAGCAATTCCACTATTTCAGAGAAAGCAAATCCTTAAAGGATTAAGCATGATCAGTTAGTACTTTAAAAAACATCTGTTTTTGTCCACACAAAACAATATTCTAGTTAAAGTTTTGAACACATTGTATTCACTGCCTTTCCTCCAGCATGGACTGCTCTTTACAATACACTGGAAAGGTTTAATTCCAGAAAAGGTGTTAGCCTTTAGAGTTTGTAAATAGTTTCATCTAAGCTCATGTATTCCTCTGTACTGGAGGGGAAAACATACAAAAAGACAGGATTAAGTAAAATCTACACCTGTCTACATTGCAAGAATTCAAGGTGCTCTAAACAAGTACCTAAACAAAAATGCCTAAATCATGCAGATGCAAGACTTTCTGCAACAGCTACACTTAATGTATTTGGCTTTTTTTAGCTTCTGGAACTCCACATTTTGTTATCCTTGAAAATATCCAGTTTTCTTCTGAATGAAAGACATCTTTTGAGGAAAAAAAAAATCACAGTACAGATACAGTTCAGTGTGTAGAAATTGATATTAATCTACTTTCTTTAGTGACGGACAAAAATGGTACTCTCCACTAGGTACAAGAGGGTAAAAAAAGGTTTTACATAACATAGTCATGTATATAGTCAAGTAAATAGAATTTAGGCAAGAGCTTGAAAATGCTACAACAATCTCCGCATGGCTGAATTTACACATGTAGTCCATTAAACTTATTTCTTTAGACACCCTGTTCAGATGTTGTTTCCTTCTTTTAAAGTATTACACACTGAACACATGAACTGTTCCTTTGCATTTACCTTTCTCTGGGGTATGTGAAAACTTGCAGCAGGCTCAGAGTTCCTTGACAGAAGTCACAGATCTTTTCTCTTTGCTTGTTTCTCTTGATGATCATCTTCTTTTAGCCTGTGCAGAAATAGACAAAATGGAGTGGAAATAAAAAAAAGCTATCTGTAAGATACTTTGGAACATGAAAACAACATTAAAAATAACCTATAGATTATGTGTATAACCTATAGATTGCCAGGAGCTCTAGAGCGTGGTTGTGGGTTTTCTCTATATCATTCATTGTACAGCCTTGGGAAAGCCCACACCATTTCTATCCCTCATGTGCCAAATCATGAAGTCTCCCTTCCTCTGCTCCTACCTTTATACAACCTCACATCCACCCGCACTCATTTTGCCCTCTGAACTGAAGCAATGACCCATTTCTTGTGATTAAATTAGCGTAAGTAATAAGATATCATAGAGCTGATTGATTTCCCCAGCAATAGTTATTAACCAGCTCAATTCAGAGGAAAGCAGAGCTATTATTCTAAACATTGATTCCTGAACAGGATTGCCAGAGAGGGGTGTGCTCAGATGTACACAACAGGAATGCAAACATCTAGAGAACCAAAATACTCTGAGCTCTTCACTATGTTCGGTACCAGCTGCTTTCTAAGCCAGGAAGGTTTTCCTGTGTTTGACAGCATTAGATAGATTTTCTTCCAAGAAATAATCTAGAAGCTTTTTAGGATCTGCAACATGCTGTGGCAAAGAGCTGCATAGCTTAAATCTTTTTTGAAGAGCAAGTTTTATCTGCTTATTTGGAACTTTTCCACTTGCCAACATCATCTGAAGCCCCCTTGGCTGTTGTAAGGCAGATGGGACCTACTATGTGTAGGGGAAAAGCAAGTATATGAGGTGACTGAAAGAAATACATGGTGTGGGCAACCATGGTGTTGTCACCTAAGAAGAGTAGGTGACACAAGAAAGCAGACCAGTAGAGAGCACATTAAAAATATATCACAGAAGTCAAAGGAAGTTCATAGAGCCAGTGAACAAAGCAGTCATACATGCGAGCTATTAGAAACACTAAATAGCAACAAATAGTCCCGCTGTAGTTCAATTATACTGCCATCAGTCTCAGTTCTGGTCCAAATAGCTCTCTCTTCTTCTAGAATTCAAAATGAGATGTATTACACTCTAAAGAATCTGAGTAAGTGTATGTGTGCCTATGGGACTTTTTCAAGTCACTTATTTGTCTGAATGCCATTGATTTTTCTCCTAATTGTTATTCACTATGCTAATTTCCCTCACAAATCTCACATGCTATTGATCAAAAAGTAATAAACTCTCCAGCAAACAAAACAAGCATTATTGCAATGTTGGGAAAACATCATTTAATATCAATACCATATTTACAATTATCTTTAACCCAAATTTCACCCGCAATGCAATGCATAATCAAAATCAGAGAGCTGCAGTCAAAAGGGTAGTATTAAAAGACTCCCACTAGGCGATTTTCTAGTAGATTATAAGAAGAAAGGCTGAAACAGGACAATCTCAACAGTTTAAGATATACAGTTAATGCTATAAATAAGCACTGCTGAATAAAGTATAGCCTCCCCTGCCTGTCTCCTTTCTTCTGTTATTTGGAGACAGTCACCATGAAGATAAAACAGAAGTAAGGGCAGCATCGGTACTGGTGCCAAAATAACCTATGGAGGATCATGACTCATATAAATTGTGGTTTCTACATTTCATTTTGTTTTTTGATAAGGACACACTGGATTTAATCCAGTTTCCAGTACATGTCTGCTGATTTTCCTCATCTTGATTGGTAATCGTAGTAGTAACTAAGTGGTAGCAATTTATGATCGTTGCAATCTGAATAAATCCTCTTCCAAACAAATCCCCCAAACCATCATTCATCCTTTTACCCCCATAATTTTCTGAATTTTGCCTTTAATTTCTTATTTTATTCATGCTAGTTTGAAAATTCCTGCTGCTTTCCTTCTCTACCATACTACCAATTCAAATTCTAAGCAAGTTGCTGCAAAGTCAATGGACTCAACCTGGTGAAAATAACTGCAGGAGAGATCAGGTCCCACAGGGGTCCAGAGAACTATCCCAAACTTGGGCATTTAAGTCAGATTTTCATTAACCCAAATAGGAGGCATTCAGCTCTTCTTTTGTTTCCTTTATCACCAAAGTATTTCTTGGTAGAAAATCAACTTAAGCTCACTGTGTACATTTTTGACAAATTCAGATGGGAACTTCACCCCACACTGGATATTGTGAATTGGGTTTGATTGCTGAGTGCAGACAGAAAGGCATCACTGGAAGCACATATATAACAAACCTTAAGGGTTGGAGGGTAAGGCAGCTAGACAAGAGCAAGCACATGCAACTGGATGCCAGGACCACGATGCATAGTTGTGGGGAACTCAAAAGCTGATTGAAATCCCAGAAGGTATCTTTATTTGGCACCATGGCTCATCTTTATTTAAATATGAGCATAGTCTCTGATATTTGGGTCTGAATCTTCTAAATTCACGGGGTTTGGATCTAACGTTCCAGCTCAGTCCTGCTCTAAGGGACTCTAAGGTTCCTAGTTATTTTCCTACAGCTTTCTCTTCCTGCCCTCTCTGGACAGTTTAAAATCTATCTTATACCAGTCCAAGCACACTCAGACTCAAAGATATTATTTCCAAGTTGCATATTTCCAAGAGCTACATGTCACAGAACGTGATGAACACAGAAATCTGTAGCGTGGGTGGATTTGTGAAAGAAGAGCTTTTGAGTGTGGCCTGCCATTCAACTCTGCACCTGGCAAAGAGCGAAAACAATCCGAGCAAGCCAACTAAAACAAAACAAAAAGCAGGAATGGAATCAGCAATCTCAGGGCAACTATTGCCACAACCCTCCTAAAGTTTCACGAATCCCACATTCCCCCCGGCCGCAGGAGCAGCCAGGTTTCTGTCACTAACCAAAGCCACCGGCGTGTGAGCGGCCACCTCCGCGGGGAGGATCACTGAGGTAACGGGCCCGCGCCCTCGCTGGGGTAAAATGGCACCGCGCCAGTCACGACATACCAGCTACGATCCAGTCCACGGTTTTTTGCATCTTCACAGGCCGAGAAGGAATTATTTTTGTCTCTGCAATTATTTCTGACTAATTTCTGCCACAATACCTCTTTGCATCCAGCTCACCGTTGGGAGAAGTAAATGATTTCTCTGGTGATATCGAGCTAAGGTGCCAATCCAAACAGAGGTTACTAATGCAGCGCTGAAAAATCTCTCTAATTAATTTCATAATATTTGAAATTCACATTCTGCTCCCCACACACCCACTTCACTAGTATTTTGAAATTAAGTCAATTTTTGGAACAATCTGCAAATAACGATATTAATAACACTCAGTAAATTGATGGCACACCCTTCCTTGGATGGCTATGTTCACTCCTCACTCCATTTCAAAACCAGATGTAGCGGAAATAAGCAGCCTAAGAATGGACAAGGAAAGGTTTTACGTTCAGGGAAAGACTTCCATATGACATTGGCAAAAAGATTTGATTTAGTGAGAAGATCAGGAAGAGTGAGCAGCAGAGCACAGCGCATGTGTTCTTTTTTACCCTTATAACACAGAAACAAAGGAACATCAGGTAAAGATGAATGAAAACAAATTCAAAACCAATAAAAAGAAATTATTTTTCCTATGCAGTCCATGACCAAGTTATGGAGCTGATTGCCTCATATGAAATATCACTGAGATAAGTATTTATAAAGATCCAAAAGGGATTAGTCATTGGCACTGATAATCAAAACAATAAGTTACAACAAAAAGATAAAAATATGGTTGGGTACATGCCAAGTATTAACTGCCTGAGATAAAAATACCTCATGTGCAAAATGCAATTCCACTGTTACGGGGTATCGTGTAGGGTTCCTTCTGAAGTATCCTGGATGGCTACTGCTGGAAGCAGGATATTGGACGAGAAGGCTTATGGATCAAATTTGCTGAGGCAACTCGCAATTTCTTATTTACCGATTCAGAGGGCGATAGGTGAAATAGTGTGGTGGTGCCAGCCAGGCGGTCACTAAAACGTGTACACTAGGATCCTTTTCAGCAAAGATGTCAACAAGTAAGCTTTAGACACTCACCTGTGAATGAAGAACTCCTTTTTAACCATCACCAAAAAAAACAAAAAAAAAACACAAACAACAAAGTAGTCTTATCATGAGGAAGCTGAGGAAGGAATGTGCTGCTGCTACTCAAACCGTGTCCAGCACAGACAAACACAAGATTTCTGGCTCCTGGCACCTTTTGTGTACACTAAAATAAATAAGAATTTGTAGCTGTTTACCTAGGGAGTGCACAAAGCCTACACACATCCTCCTTCCACCCAGCACAACACCCGTATTTCTGGTTCTCAAATTCATTTCCAGGAAAAGTGTGCCAAAAGAAGGAAAAAATAAAGATGGGCTGCAAACAGTTTTCATGTCCTGGAGAAAACAGAGGATAGAAATATATATATATATTTATATCAAAACAGCTTTGCTGTGCAGCAAAGGACATTCTGCATTTTTTCCTTACGAGTTGCAGACAAGACAATGCATAACCTGGTGGGCAGAGCATTTTCCAAGGATACAGACACTTAGGGCCATCTCTTTGTTCTGCCTGACTCAATATCCAATCAATTAGGCTATTATCTCTCTCTCATTTGGATTAAAAAATCCACCTTACTCGAGATACCTTTTCTGAGAAAAATGTCATCAAAAACACTAGCTCATGGAAAAAGCTTGAAATTCAATGAACTACTTGATTTCAAAACCAAGACTCTCCCTTTACCAGACGCCAACTAGCTTTAACAAGGACAAAAGCTCTGAAACACCCCACAGTTTGCTTTTCTTCCTGCACCAAATCCAGACACCAGAGAACACCCTAACCATTCAGTGTGACAACTTTTCCATAGCTTAACACATCTTCACTAGGGCTCTTTACAAATTGCACAGGCTGTTGGTCGTGGTCAGCAACAACAACAACAAAGTGTAACCACCCAAGGCAGTGAAAGCACGACCACATCTGCCAAGAAGTGCTCACAAAACTCATCCCGAGATCTGTAGTTACAAAATTACACA